GTAAGCCGCGCGCCTCTGAGCAAATCATCAGTAGCGTTTACAGTAAATCTTTTGAGGCCTGAGACATGCGAGAGCGGCCAAATATAGTAAAACGCCATCCAACTGCCCCAGCATGTATGTGTGAATGCATTAACGATGTTTTTATGGGGAATCCGCATGAGTTCTCAGTGAACACTGACCCGTGACCTCAGAGTGAATATAGGGAAGCGTGTTTATGACTCGTGTCGCTCACAGATGTCACTGGGGCTCAGCAATATAGCTAAAACAATTATGTCTCTATTTTTCAGCCTTTTGATGAGATAATCAGTCTTGATATGTTATTTGATATGTAAAGTATTTTAAATCTATTTGGAAACAAAGTGATTTGGGATTTAAGATGCTAAAATATATTTTTATTATATTGGTATTCATTTATACTATATGTGTGTGACTATGTATTTTTGATTAATATTATATATTGTTGACCAAAAATACTTTTGTGATGTTAATATTAATATTGTATTGTAATATTCAAATATTTGGCAACAAAGGAAGATATTTATGATGATGAAATCTCTTATTGTTAGTTATTTATACAATTAATAACATATCCGGTGTAATTATATTTTTCTTTTACTAATATTAACTATTGTAGGCCAATAAATGCTATTCAATTATATTGTTAATATAATATTAAGCAATGTCACATTGACACAGTCATATATGACTGCGTATATATTGAATTTATTGATTTTTTTTTTCATCGTTTCATATTTCGCTCAGAGCAACATTACATTTTTTGTCATGATTTTTTATTATTATTTTTTTTTTTTTGGACAAAATTAGTACACACACTCTAAACAATGCTGGGTTGTTTGAACCCAAATTTGGTTAAAATATGGACAAACCCAAATGTTGGGTTAAAAATGTAATTTCAAAATTTAACCCAAATTCAACTTTCATTTTTTTAAATTGCATTTTTAACCGAACATTTGGGTTCGTCCATATTTGACCCAAATTTGGGTTGAAACAACCCAGCATTGTTGAGTGTAGTTTTCAGGTTACCTGACGTATATTTGAAGGCCAGGATTTTTTAGAGACGGGTGTGTGGTTAGATAATTAAACCGTTATAATGCTAAATTAAATGCATAAACAAAACTTATACTGTTGAGCATGATTAAACGTATATGTTAGCGCATTATTTTTGATAGCCAACGACAGAGCTCGACATCAGACATCAGATCCCACACAATGCTCATGAATGAAAGCGGGAGGGACTACAAAGGCCGCCGAGAGAAGATGTGTGTGTTTCCAGAGGGATCAACCTTGGGGAGACTGCTGTGGGGGAGGGAGGGGGGTTTGTGCAGGGTTACGCGGTCCGCAATCGCTGGCGTATGTGAGGAATGCTGTGAAAGTGGAGGCTGCGCCCGTCTGCATGCTCGCTCCTGCCTGTCCTCGTGTATTCCCTCCGCATCCGTCTGCCGCCTGTCTGCCGGCGTGTCGGGGGTTAACGCTGGGCGGATCTCTCTCTCTGTTGGAAGAGGCCATTGAATGGCTGCTTTCCACGGACAGCAAAAACATTGGTTAAGGGTGAGGGCGGATCTGAGGCTGTTGTGGAAACATGGACTGGAGTGTTGGATCGGATCTGGAGTCGGATTAACGGTTTTGGCATGCGTGAACATGGTTGGGCCTTGGAAGCAGACAGTGGTCTTTATGTTTTACGTGTAAAATTAGTCTTTGATTTTTACTAATGAAAATTATTGGCCAAAAATAATAAACATAATTAAGTTTTCATGATTTAAAAATGGAGACCAACCTTATTAATCATTCTTTTTTAAATCTGATTAAAATTTTAAATCACTAGCAAAATTGTTATATCAATTACCAAATAATTATATAGATATTTTATACAGTAGTCAACATTTGAAGTGCATCAAAAACGTTAATCAAAGTTGTCCTAAGACAAGAACGGGTATTGTTCAAAATTCACGTATAACTTTGATGAAATATTTTTATCCAAATGTTGACTACTGTATTATAATATATATAATCATGTATAGTATTAAGGAATATAATATATTATTATAAATAATATTATGTATTTCTAATAATTTTATTTATAGGTAGCTTATTATTACTATTAATACACAAGCATAATTTATTAACATATATATATATATATATATAATAAAATAAAAATGCCACATGTGATCTAATTTTTTTTGTGTCATTCTTTTTTTAAATCAGATTTTAAATTAATATAGAGAAAAAAAAATTAACAAAATGAATCAGACAGTTTTAGTTTATTCATTATTATTATTATTCATTGTTATTCATGCAATTATTCCTACACATCCCTGGTTTGCTGATATTAAGTTTCCTGACATATTTTTGAAGGCCAGGATTTTGGTTTGTGGTTATAATGCCAGACAGTCTTTTAATATGCTTGTTAATACGCCCCAGATTGACATATTTTGCTAAATTTCAGGAAATCCGACTTTTTGTTTTTCTTTTATTCTTCTTTTTTCTGCTTCTCATCCGTTTTGAATGCGTTCTAGAGTTGAATGCCCCCCACCCCCTATAATCCCCGTCACCTTTCGGGTGCCCCATCATATTTCATTCAGGCAGTGATATGGTCCGCCCCGTCGCTGACAGGCAGAAGGGTCCATGTTGTTTTGCTCCCGTGGGAAGGCCCCGTGTCACATGATGGAGTGTTTTATGGCACTAATGAAGTCCAACAGATTTGCCCCTGCGCTGTAACCTGGAAGGCCGGCTGTGTCCGACATCTCCGCCGAACTCGTGTCAGGATCAGGGTGAATCTAATGACGGGTTGCAATTGAAACGCTGTCCTGCGTGTTTATAATCTTAAATGGGGCTTTTATATAAATGTGGTTATGTTTCATTGTATTATTTGAAATTTATTAAATAAAATTCACTAAACATTTATGGAATCTTGACTTGCACACTACTGTTTTTGTTTTTATTAATAATTAAAAATATTTTGACATGTTTAATTGAATTTTGTATTATTAATCATTTTTTATATTAAAAACATTTCTATATTTTCCATAATGTATACAGGACAATATTTTCTTTAAAAAAAAATAGTGTAGGGAACAAATATTACATTTCTGCTCCGATTCAACATACTAGAAATTGAAAGTCAAGTGCATTGCATTATGGGAAACAGCAAAAGGGTGAGCTGTTTGTATCTTGCACATGTTTTTCAAATGTATTGTACCAGCAGATACTGTTGTAGTTCTGCTACTGTTGTTGCGTGCTCTTCTTGACATGTTTCTGGAACACTTTGTTGTGGTCTAGCAGTGCGAGTGTGAGACGAGGAAGATGACTTGCAGACTGCTGTATTCATTTATTTTCGCACCCTGCAATGCACAAGCTTCACTTCCAGATGGCCCCGCGGCCAAACACGACTCTGAATCACTTCCTTCCTGCTGAATAAAGGCTCACAATGATGCGACTGACCTCAGATCCACTTTTTGTGGATCTTAATCACATTTGTTTTCATTAACGTGATGTTGCGGTCAACATATGTTGTTTATTTGAGCCCAAAAATCAAGAAATAATGCTTTTCTTAAGGCAGTACCAGTGAATGGGTTACAAATACTAATAGATATTGCCATGCTTTCCCAGTTGATGTTTAAATTTGCTAATGAGGCATTATCTAACGTTGAACACTGGGTAAAGCCAAAGGGTTTTTACAGAGGTTATCACTAGTGGCTTGATTTTATTATTGCCATTGGCCATTAAGTGTCAGAAGTGGGCTTTTATTTTGACAGTGCCTGAACCAGTCCCTTTAAGGCAAGTCATTTCACTCAGCGGCCATCTTTGAAAATGCCTCGCTGCAGCTATTTCAGTCATGCGAGTACAGCTCCTAAATTTCTGCAATTTGTAAATCTGACAAAAACTGTCATAAATTTGGTTTCTAAATGCTCAAGTCATGCTGGCTGGACCAGCAAATGCGCATGTGCAGTCCTGAGCGAGCGTTCTCAAAAAAAAACGTTCTTAAGCGGTCTTGCGTCCTTGTGTTCCCGTACTACGTCATCAACTCATCAACACAAGTACAGAGGACTCATTGAAGATATCTGGATGTGTTCTTGATATCGAGGATGCATCGAATACAGAAATGATAGAATCGATCCGTTTCGAAATCCCAGAAGACGCTGCGGGCGGTCGATGTACGGAAGCCTGCAAGCTTTTTATCTTCTCGTTCTCACTTAAAGGAGTAGTTAAATTTTCAAAAAACTTTTGCTGATAATTTACTCACCCCCATGTCATCCAAGATGTCCATGTCTTTCTTTCTTCAGTCGAAAAGAAATTAAGGTTTTTGATGAAAACATTCCAGTATATTCAATGGGGTCCAAACGACAGTTTCAGTCCCAACTGTTCAAAGGGCTTTAAACGACACCAGACGATGAATAAGGGTCTTATCAAGCGAAATGATATAAAAAAATAAATAAATAAAGTTTTAGTTTTATAAGCACAAATGCTCGCCTTGCTCTGTTCTGTGATGAGCGTTCGTGACTCTCCTGTTCGAACTCGTTCGTCAAAATGAACGAATCTTTTTTCGAGTCATGACTCGAAGGGTCCTAGATAAGACCCTTATTCATTGTCTGGAGTCGTTTAAAGCCCTTTGAAGCTGCACTGAAACTCTCATTTGGACCTTGAACCGTTTGGTTCCCATTGAAGTCCATTATATGGAGAAGGTTTTCATCAAAAACCTTAATTTCTTTTCGACTGAAGAAAGAAAGACGTGGGCATCTTGGATGACATGGGGGCGAGTAAATTATCAGCAAAAGTGAACTACTCCTTTAAACAAATGTATTGTGGCTAAAATCTACAGATGCACAAAGATAAAGTGCAATAAAATACTAGTGTATTTTGGGATGTTTTCTTTCTACTAGGTTTAAACATGTTATGGAAAGCCCAATATCTATGACCAGAGCACGAAAAGTGAATCTAATACGTTATCTTTGTTCTTTTCTCCCTTTTTCCCTTCACAGTTTGTCCTTCCGAATGTGCCCACGGTGCCTGTACCCCCCATAAGGAGTGCTGTCACGATCAGTGTCTGGGCGGCTGCTCTTTGCCAGGGAACGCAACCAAATGCGTAGCTTGTCGCAACTTCCTGTTCGGCGAGGCGTGCGTGGACCGTTGCCCGCTGGGATACTACACCTTCAAGGGATGGCGCTGCGTGTCCTTAAAATTCTGCCAGGACCTCCACAACCAGTGCAAGGGCAAGAGCGGCGACTGCCACGAGTACGTCATCCACAACGGGGCCTGTATCCCAGAATGCCCGTCTGGATACACCACCATGAACTCCACCACGTACGTACCGGCTTTTTGCTTTTTTTTTGCCAACTGTAAAACAGCATTACACTTTACAACTCAAATTAGATTTTGCTCCGATTTCGACTCGAGTTGAAGAGGAGCAGAGACTTTTCTGTAGCACAGAATGAGATTCAGGAGCTCTGAGGTAGATGAATAAATCACAACAGAAGACCGAGCTGAATTATACGGCCGAGACGGTCGCGAGGAGACGCCTTTGTCCACGGCAGGGTATATATCAGGGAATTTTTACAGCAAGAATCAGTCTAGTGTTCAGAAATGAAGTTCACAGGTCATATTTCACTGTGAAATCACAAGGAAAGTCAGAAATAATGTTCTGAATTTTAAAGAAAATGAATCTAAATTTTATTGGCGCAGTTGTTATATAAAAAAATTATAATTCAATTATATTTGATTTTTGATTTTAGAAAATTGAATTAACATTTGCTTACTGTTATGAATTAAAAAACATATGCATTAATAAAATAAGAATTACCATTAAGAATAACTACAAAAAACCCAATAAAATAAAGTACAAAATAAAAGTAAATAGAATACAAGCATCGTCACATTTTCTCTCAATTTCTGCTTGCATAATGTATCCAGACATTTTATTTTATTGGGTTTTATTCTCAATGGTAATTCTTTCATACATTTCTAAATTTCTAACAGTAAACAAATGTAAATTTAATTTTTAAAATTAAAAATCAAATATGATTGAATTATAATGTTATATCATTATTAATAAAGTAAAGGATTAATTTATTTAAAATAATTGTGAAAAAAATATAAATAATCTTAAGTAAAATGACTTAAATATTTTTGGCATTTACATTATTTTCATGACGATTTCACCAACACATTTTTACTCTATTCTTAATGGTGATTTGCATTACTGTGTAATTAATTTATTAAAATCAATTAAATGATTGAATTGTTAAAATTGTAAATTATTAAAAAATTATTTAAATGTGGAAAATGAGGAAATTGTCGCTTAATTGTCATGAAAATATTAAATAATTTAAAAGAAAATGAAGCAAAAATATTTTCTATAAAACTGATGTTTTTGGTAGATTTTGTGAGATATTATTTTCCCCCCCTTTTATATAAATGACTGAATCATGTGCTTCAGGCATGAAGCTGCAGTTCCTGGTTAAGGCTGTGATTTTGTTTTTGGTCGTTTAGCAAATTAACGAACCGGTTGTCACGCTCAACTTGAGCGGGAGAAGATAGAACTGTTCTGGAAGTATCATAACATCGTTTAGTCTTTTCGTCAGTCACGGTAAATTGAAAACGAGCAGATTATAATGGCCGGTGTCAAGTGTTAAGAGCGCGATAAAATGCCACCCTGATTATTCCATCAGTCATTTGCAATCCGGCGGGATTTGTCAAGCCAAGGGGAAGTATAATGAGCCAAACCAAAACAACATTGCGTGTCGGAAAGCGACATTAGCGGCCTTTTTTTCTTAGCCTGAGTCTGTTTGGCTGGCCCGGGAATGTCCGGAAGCTCCCGCACGTCCAGCTTCATGTGTGGGAATTATTAACGCACAAATAAACAGAGAATTAACACTGCGAACGGGACTGAAGCGCAGCCTCGCGGGAACAATGGCAGCCTTTGTTTGCGTTCACTGGGGTCTTGGGGCCTTTTAAAAGGTGGCCTTTGGCTTCCTTTGTCTCCATGTCGGAGCGCTGCAGTCGTGGAAGCTTGATGAGATCTCGGTTTTCCAGGAATTTTGTTTGGAAGTGACGTCACTCGCTTGTTTTTCTCGTCCGGCCACCTTTCGCCTTTGTGGGAGGCAGTCATGCGGCTGTAGGTCCCGTTTCATAACAGCGAGCCCCGTCCTTCCCTGTTATTCTCCAAACGAGAAGCAAAATTCACTGGCAACTGGACGTAATATGAAGGGGTTAAAATGCACAATTCACTCGGAATCTGTGTGTGTGGAACTCCAAAACTGGAAGGGGGATTAAAGAGTGGGATTATGTGCTTAATAAACCTGAGAGAGAGAACACTACTCGCTTGCGAATGATCTGATGTGCTCCGTTAGATTAGCTCAGTTAGCTCTGAAGATTATTTCATCGTTGCGAACAAAACTGTGCACTAAAATGGTTAAAGTTTCCTCCCCAGTATGCAATGGTGTCACAATACCAAACTACTGCACTTTAACATTAAGTACAATCTCCGATTCTTTTGAATCCAAGTAGTGAATTGTGTAATCGGATTCCTGAATGACTCTTATGAGCCGATTCTTTTTAGTGAATCTAACACATACAATGAGACTAGTCTAATCTGATTCCTGAATGACTCTTATGAGCCGATTCTTTTTAGTGAATCAAACACATACAATGCGACAATCTCCGATTCTTTTGAATCCAAATAGTGACTGGTGTAATCTGATTCCTGAATGACTCTTATGAGCCGATTCTTTTTAGTGAATCTAACACATACAATGAGACTAGTGTAATCTGATTCCTGAATGACTCTTATGAGCCGATTCTTTTTAGTGAATCAAACACATACAATGCGACTAGTGTAATCTGATTCCTCAAAATGACTCTTATTAGCGGATTCTTTTTAGCGAATCAAACACAAACAGTGCGACTAGTGTAATCTGATTCCCGAATGACTCTTATGAGCCGATTCTTTTTAGTGAATCAAACACATACAATGCGACAATCTCCGATTCTTTTGAATCCAAATAGTGACTGGTGTAATCTGATTCCTGAATGACTCTTATGAGCCGATTCTTTTTAGTGAATCAAACACATACAATGAGACTAGTGTAATCTGATTCCTGAATGACTCTTATGAGCCGATTCTTTTTAGCAAATCAAACACATACAATGCGACTAGTGTAATCCGATTCCTCAAAATGACTCTTATTAGCAGATTCTTATTAGCGAATCAAACACATACAATGCGACTAGTGTAATCTGATTGCTGAATGACTCTTATGAGCCGATTCTTTTTAGTGAATCAAACACATACAATGCGACAATCTTCGATTCTTTTGAATCCAAATAGTGACTGATGTAATCTGATTCCTGAATGACTCTTATGAGCCGATTCTTTTTAGTGAATCAAACACATACAATGAGACTAGTGTAATCTGATTCCTGAATGACTCTTATGAGCCGATTCTTTTTAGCAAATCAAACACATACAATGCGACTAGTGTAATCTGATTCCTGAATCACTCTTATGAGCCGATTCTTTTTAGCGAATCAAACACATACAATGCGACTAGTGTAATCTGATTCCTGAATCACTCTTATGAGCCGATTCTTTTTAGCGAATCAAACACATACAATGCGACTAGTGTAATCTGATTCCTGAATCACTCTTATGAGCCGATTCTTTTTAGCGAATCAAACACATACAATGCGGCTAGTGTAATCTGATTCCTGAATGACTCTTATGAGCCGATTCTTTCTATTGAATCAAACACATACAATGCGACTAGTGTAATCTGATTCCTCAAAATTACTCTTATTAGCATATTCTTTGAATCCAGACATAAAGCCCTGTTTACATCTGTTATCAAGATGCATTTTGGTCGATCGGATCACAAGTAGACGAGGGAGACACATTCCTGTTTACACATGGTGTTTTAATCCAGCTCTTTTGTCCACTTTCAACCCTGTTTCTTCGAGGGGAGGATCCATGGGTGGGTAAATGTATGGGTGTTTTTTCAGATCTTTCAATCTAATGGACACATTTACATATGAATGCGCCCGGAGACGACGGAAAAACACAGAGAGCAGCAGCATGCTGTTCGTTTTCTCACACAAACCGCTCGTTTCGTGTCTTAGGCCATCAATGTGCACTTACATTTACGAGTCATTAAATCATGTTTAATTTGGACTTCTCTGTGCATGCTCTTTGAGGTGGTGACCATAGACCTCCATTATATGACTGGCAGACAAGAACGGTTTGACCTAAAAATATCAAAATTGAAAATACTGCTGAAACAAACACACCTACACCTTGGATGCCCTTGAGGTACGCTAAAACATATCAAAAATTTATTTCAAAGTGAACTATCCCTTTAAGTCCAAAATTTTTTTATTTTTTTGAAGTGCAATGAATATTTAAGGCCAATTATTTGATTGCATTTATGCACCTAAAAAATATGTATGTGTAAATGTACACATGTAAAAGATATATATATATATATATATGTACAGTATGTGTGTGTTTATACATACGTTTTTGTTTTGGGCATATGTCCGGCATTCTTGACCTGTTTTTTTGTGTAAAGTCGAATATGAAAGCTCTAAATTAATTTGGAAAGATAGCAGTAAATTCCTCTCCCACCCATTGCTGCATTTTAGCGATTTGAGTGCGATTACATAACGTTACTCTCTCTTGTTTTGTCAAAAAGTGATCAAATTAAGCAGCAGAATTAAACAGATCAGCTGCGTCGCAGGGATTCATTACGCGATTATTTCTTTCAGTGCAATTGCCCATTCTTGCATCAAAAGGCCTCATCTTTATATGGGTGTTTGCCGTGATGTGGAGCTTGCATACTTCAAGGCCAACACAACTATCTCTGGTATTTAGTTTTTTTCTCCGTGGGATTGTTTTCACGTTTGCCCTCAGTGGCCTTTTCAATTCAGATGCATTGCAGCATTACAGCTTGAATGGAGCCCACGATACCGTTACACCGCGTTTGGGATCGTTCCAAACACAACAGCAGCGCAGGTGACATGATGAGGGAACAATATGTTTGGGCAATCGTAAAAAGACGTGCCAGCTGGTGACATCATGGCGAATGCATTTGTAAAGCAACAGCCAGACCGTGTCTTTGCTCTTAATTAAAAACATGGCTGTCATGCTGTCATCAGGTTGAACTGCACGCCATGTGCCGGTCGATGTCCCAAACTGTGTACGGGGGTGAAGACTGTGGACTCGGTCATGGCAGCTCAGGCTCTGCGGGGCTGTACGGTCCTCAACGGCAGTCTGATGATCAAGATCAGCGGAGGAAGTGAGTATTGGACACTTTGAATACGCATATTCATTGCATTTACGCACATGAATCTTGAATCTTTTGCACTTTTTTTTCTGTTTTAATTTATTATTCATTATTAAAAAATAACAAATAGCAATTAATAAAGAATAATATAATATAACATTTAAATAAATAAAAAATATAAATTGGACTACAGAATATAAAAATAAATGGCTTATAATTATTCTGTTTTTGTCTATTTTTTTATAATAATGAATCGAAATACACAAATATTTAAAAAAAAATGCAATTTAAAAATAAAAATACAGTTTATTTATAATTTTATATATTTATAAGGATATAATGTTACATGACGTTTTAAATGAATTCATTCTAAAAACATTATAAAAATGATAAAAACATAAAATATTTATCCTAACTAGACAGCTGAAAATGAAATTAAATGTATGTAAAAATTAAATCTAAATATGTAAAATATTTATAGTTATATTAATATTAATGTATTTATAAATGTGTATAAAAATATTTTTATAGATAAAAACAAGATTTTATTCAGTTTTATTTTAGTATTACATATTTTGTAATGTTTTTTAAAAAAAAGGTTTATTTTAGCCTGTTTTATCCTTTAGCCAAATTTTCAAAATACTAAGAATCTTAATGTTATATTTACTTTAAACCATTATAAATGCTTATTGGGCCAATTATTTGAACTTCAAAATATCTTTATTTAAAAAAAAAACTTAAATTAATACATATTATTATTTTAAAATAAATATATTAGGGCTGTGCAAAGATTTATTGCATCCAAAATAAAAGTTTGTGTTTACATAATATATGTGTGTGTGCTGTGTATGATTATTTTGTATATATAAATACATATGCATGCATGTATATATTTAAGAATTTTTAAATACTGTGTGTATGTATATATATATATATATATATATATATATATAAGAATAATATAATATAACATTTAAAATAAATAAAAAATATAAATCGGACCACAGAATATAAAAATAAATGGTTTGTAATTATTCTATTTTTGTATAACGAATAATAATGAATCCAAATACACAAATATTTTTTAATAAAAAATATTTGTGTGTGTATATATATATATAAATATATATAATCTATATTATATATAAATGTGAATATTTTATATATATGAAAAACACATTTTCTTAAATATATACATGCATGTGTGTGTATTTATATATACAAAATAATCATACACGGCACACACAAATATATCATGTAAACACAAACTTTTATTTTGGATCCGATTAATCGCAACTAATCATTGCACAGTCCTAATATATATATATATATATATATATATATATATATATATATAGATAGATATAGATATAGATTATTTGACCAAAAAAAGGCAAAATAAATCCAAATATTTATAGAATAATAGTCATTTTATATATTTATAAAAAAATAAAAATAAAAAAAACATATTTAGAAATTGAGCATCATTATACAAAACTGTTTTCTGATTGCCATGATTGACCAATTAGAGTCAAGCATTTCAGATAGCCGAATAAGTAGTTTGTTTTTGCACACAGTAGTATGTATCTAAATAGCAGGATGTGTGAAATGAAATCGTGTGAAGTTTCATGCACATATAAAGCATGTTCTGTTCCTCAGACAATATCGCGGCGGAGCTGGAGACCAGTCTGGGTCAGCTGGAGGAGATCACGGGTTACCTGAGCATCCGCAGAGCCTACGCTCTCGTCTCCCTGTCCTTCTTCCGCAAGCTGCGTGTTATTCGCGGGGAAGTGCTGGAAGCCGGGTATGTGAGACGTTACAAGTGACTGTCATTTGTAGTGATTGATTTTTTTTGAAATGCCAATGTCTTGTTCTCAGCGCTGTCAAAATAAAAGTCCTGCTCACTGTCAAAATAAACATCGCCCAAACAAAAAAAACATACCGATAATTGAAAAAAAAAAAAAAAAACGCTGGACGACTACTAGATATTTGTGTACCGTCATTCTTTCTAGGAACTTTTCGTTCTACGCCATGGATAACCAGAACATGCGGCAACTATGGGACTGGTCCAAACACAACCTCACCATCCTCAACGGCAGGATGTTCTTCCTCCACAACACCAAACTCTGCAAGTCTGAGATCCTCCGAATGGAAGAGGTGACCGGGACCAAGGACAGGATCCCTAAAAACGAGATCAGCATCCCAGCTTATGGAGACCAGGCCTTCTGTAAGACCCACAGTGCTTTTGGTTTCACTGGAGCTTGAGCTTTATGTCAAACCAGACCTCATATCGAACCTCTCTTACAGGTGAAAACCAAGTTCTGAAATTTACACAAATCCGCACATCCCACAACAAGATCCTCATCAGGTGGGAGCCGTTCTGGCCCTCAGACTTCAGAGACCTGCTGGGATTCATGGTCTTCTATAAGGAAGCGTGAGTTTTTTTGTTATACTTCACTATCGGGATATTGCCTTGATCTGACCCAAATGAAGCCTGAAATCTGAACCACCATGTTGTTCCTGGACTCCTGAACTGAATAACTATGTCATTATAGTTTTGAAAATGTCACACATTTATTTTTGATTGAGGTTGTATTTAGATTTTCAGTTTGGTTGAAATTGTTACTTTTATGCATAGAATTATTTTGTGTTTATGTCTGAGATATGACCAAGTTTTGTTTTTATTTACTTATAAAGTTTACAAAAGTATTATTAAAATACAATTTCAATTTAGCTTTATTAGCATGACTGTGTAACACAATGTTGCCAAAGCATCAACGTATTATATATAAATAATAGAACAAATAAATTTAATAAAACAATTCTATGAATAAATACTATTTATATATCATTTATTTAACTGTTATTAATTAATACAAATTATATTTTATGTCATACTTGTTTTTACACATTTTTTAAAATGCTTTGAACTTGAAAGTGTTAATTATTTTATTTTAAAAATAAAAATATTCATTATTATTAGGGCTGTGCCAAAATTAATTGCGATTAATCGAATCCAAAATAAAAGTCTGTGTTTACATAAAATATTTGTGTGTGCTGTGTATGATTATTTTGTATATATAAATACACACACATGCATGTATAAATTTAAGAAAATGTTTTATTCATATATAAAATATTTATATAATATAGATTTTGTATAGAATTTAAGCGCAAATAATTCTTAAATATATACATGCACGCATGCATATGTATTTACATATACAAAATAATTATACACAGCACACACAAATATATTATGTAAACACAAACTTTTATTTTGGATGCGATTAATCGCAATTAATTTTTGCACAGCCCTAATTATTATTAGTGATTAGAATTTGCTAATAAAAATGTTACTTCTGTAAAACATTGAAAGCATGAAATTGCTAATTTTTTTTTAGAATTGGCTAATAAAATGTATTATTATTATATATTTTAGTATGCTTAATAATTATTACTGTGATTACTTAGTAAAATATATAACTAAATATTATTAAAAAAAATACATCTTAATTTATTAATCTTGAGTGAATTGCTTTAACCATTGAAAGAATTTAAAACCTAACTATTTAACACTTGATAAAAGTAATAATTTAATAATAATGAATTAATACACTTAATTGCTTTTTTGTGTATTTCATTATAATTAGTTAATACTAATGTTAAAAGTGTTTTTTTCTTAAAACATTATTATATTTAACAGTAATTGGTTCCAAGTGCTGTGTATATAAATGACATCATCTATGAAAGCATGAGAACATATCGTCTCTTGTCCCATTCAGTCCCTATAGGAACGTGACTGAATATGACGGACAGGACGCCTGTGGCTCGAACAGTTGGGCGATCGCTGACGTGGAGCCCCCGCAGCGCGTCACCGAGGGCAACCAGATAGAGCCGGGTCACCTCATCATGCCTCTGAAGCCCTGGACCCAGTACGCCGTCATGGTCAAAACCCAACTCGCCGCCTCTGAAGACCACCAGGTCCGCGGGGCCAAGAGCGAGATCATCTACATCCGCACCAACGCCACGCGTAAGTTATCGCAGCCGAGGACGTGGAGGTTCTTCTCATTATTTTGATTCTTAAGCAACAGCAAGCAATACGATGTGCACACAAATATACATGTAATTGTAATAAATATCTAACTAGAATAATTGAAGGATTTGGAGGGGTGTCCCAATACTTTTATATACATCCATTACAAATGCATATTGATTTTCTTCAAATGACTATTTTTATGCTTACAATTTGAATGTAAATTCATTTGAAATTGCAATGTGTGTGTGTATGTATATATGTACGCAACAGTTTCTTCTCAGTCCATCAACCCTGTAGCGTGATGTGAATGAACTGACTCGTGAAGGCTTGTCATCTGAGAAGCGAAAGCTGAAGCTGCTCTGTTTCTAATGTGTAACAGGACCCTCAGTGCCACTGGACCCCTTTTCCTGGTCCAACTCCTCCACGCAGATCATTCTGAAGTGGAAGCCGCCCTCCGATCCCAACGGAAACATCACCCACTACATCGTCTACTGCCAGAAGCAGAACGAGGACATCACGCACTACAAGTTCGACTACTGCCAGCAAGGTAGATCGCCAGTATGTTTGTGTTCCTTCAAGCGGCGAGCCATGGATCCGCCTGTACCGTCAGACGTCCAATTGCTCATTAAGTTCTTTGTGTCCACTATACAGGCATGAAAGTGCCGTCCCTTATGCCTACACACCATCACATCGAAGAAGACCAGAAGGGGAACCAAACGGAGGTGCCCGACAAGAAGGGGCGCAACTGCGCCTGCCCCAAAACAGAGACGCAGCTGAAGAAAGAGGCAGAAGAGTCTGAATTCCGCAAGACCTTCGAGAACTACCTCCACAATGAAGTGTTTGAACCCAGGTACACAACACGACTGGGATTTATGCGTTTAGAACGGTCCTGGCATCAGCAGTCATTTCGTTGTAAATTACATTTTCACGTACACATAAAAATACACAGTACATAGGTCACGTGTGTCAGCAGAATACTGATAAATTGCTCATTATTTTAATGTTATGACGGGTAACTCAGACTGAAAACTTTTATATAATAATATTATACAAGAATATATTGTAAGTATTATATAATAATATTATACAAGAATATATTCTAATATTAAAGTATCAGTGAAAAAAATCTGTTTTAAATTTAGCGTTATTTTAATGACTCTCTATCTATCTATCTACATATATATATATATATATATAAATACACACAATATATAGTAATTCTATAATATGATGCTGGTTTTATCTTTTTATAATTATCTTTATTATCAGCTATTTAATATTTTAATATAATATTTTAATATTAAATCATATTTTAAATTTTTATATAATATTAATATTTAATTATTTAATGTTATAAGTTATTTTTTTAACTGGATACTATAATTAACAGTTTAATTTATGTGATATTTATAATTTATTGCAGCTTTATTTCAAATAAGAAATTTTTTTAATAGTTAATACTTTTAATTCTGTTTTTTATCAGCTATTTAATAATTTATCAGCTATTTATTTAATATTTACTATTTGTATTCTTAATACAATTATATTATAATTTCAATGAATAGATTTTTTTCAACCTGTATTAAATGTGTTTATTACAATTAATTACTATTTTATATGTAGTTAAACGCAGATGACTGCGCAATTGCTCCCATTTGTAACCGTTTTGGAAGCCAACTTTATTGCAGAAACACAAAGCATGATACGCTCTATCCATCTGCCACATTGGTCACTCTGTACACGGTACACCTTGTGCATTTCCTCTCTGAAGCGATTAATGGTTCCTGTCCATTCTTCTTTGTAAGCACCATCCCGTAGGACATATACATTTCGTATGTGCCAGTCTGGAAAGCAGCCATTAAGACTGGTATCTTTCTGTGGGTTAATCCCATGAATAGATCGCTGTGGTATTAAATGGCAATATTACTGTTCTATAGCGCCATCTACTTTTTTAAAGCCACATTGCAGCTTATTCTGCCCAAGAAATGCCCATTTAGACAGCAAGTGACCATTTGACCACGTAAATTACTGATTTTACAATAAATATTGGCAGTACTATTTAGTTTTTTAAAGCTGGCCAGAAAACACAACTAACCAGCATTAGAGCTAAAACAATTAGGATGTTGGTTTAGGTCTGTTCGCTCTGACTGAAACTCATTTTTCACTGTCAACCCCGTAGGCCCCACCGACGGCGCCGCTCAGTGGGCGTAGCCAATGCTACGTTGCCGAATTTTGCGGTCACACCATCCAGCCTGCCCAACTTTGCCACCACTTCAATCCCAGAGGAGGACAAGAGCCGGAAGATGGTGTTCAAAGCCAGCTCCAAAGAGTCCACGGTCATCTCCGGCCTGCTCCACTTCACCAGCTACCAGATCGAGATCCAGGCCTGCAACCACCCCACAGACCAGAACCGCTGCAGCATGCCTACATACGTCCACGCCCGCACACTGCCTGAACGTAAGCCCACCGGACCGCCTTTCACATAATACAGGATACAGAAAGCTTTGGATTCATGTTGTAATGTGTCGCCTTCCCGTCTGTGTTCCTAGTAAAATCGGACAACATTGTCGGGCCAGTGACTCATGAGTTTATTCCTGACGAACCGGAATTCGTCTCCATCAAATGGCAGGAACCGAGAGCACCCAACGGCTTGATCATACTATATGAAGTCAAGTTCCTGAGGATGTCAGATAGCTATGTAGGTGTTTAATTCATTCTAAAGAAAGTCAATATTTCTATGATTCAAAATATACATATACAACATTGATGAGAATAATATTTTAGAATAAGTTATATTTATACCACAAAAAAAAAAAAATTGCGCAAGCACATGACAAGGCTTAATGTCAAGCCCTGTGCGTGTGTGTGTGTGTGTGTGTGTATGTATATATATATATATATATGTATGTATATGTACACATACATGCGTGCATAAATATGGTATATTAAATACATATTTTTTATATAATGACATGTTATATATATATATAATTTGATATAATTTTATGCCTTTGGTTAATTTTTTCTTTTTAATTTCTTGTCCCTTAGGAGGATCAAATCTGTGTGTCCAGAATCGCTTATGAGAAAATTCATGGGTGTCGATTAAGAGTAGTGCTTCCTGGGAATTACAGTGTGAGAGTCCGCGCCACCTCGCTGGCCGGCAACGGTTCCTGGACGGAGCCTGTGTACTTTTCTGTTCAAGACAGTAAGCTTTAGCGTGTTCATATTTTTTTCCTGTTCATTTGTCCACTATAGTCTCTAATATACATGTTTTTGCAGGGGAAATGAACATGAAAATCATCATTGGCCCAGTTATCTGCTTCATTGTACTGTTGTTTCTGGCCAGTACAGTCTTTGTTGTCCTTAAGAAGAAGTATGTATAAGACACTCTTACGTTAAGCCCTTATTTGTCATATAGACAGTGCTCTCATGTATAATGTTTTTTTTTTCTCCCAGACAAACTGAAGGACCGACTGGCCCATTAATTGCTTCCTCGAACCCAGAATATTTAAGTGCAAATGATGGTAAGATAGAATTTTAGATTTAACCCAATTAATAAATCCGATAATTAAAAGATTGTCAACAAATGTTATTGATAAATGTGTGCTTATTCTTACATTTTTATAGCCTTTAATTTTACATTTCACGCACAGCAAAACTAAAAGCTTGGAAATAAAGTTTGGAAATTTTTTCCAATCAGTCAAAGAAATAACCAACTGTTTAATTGGTTACCAGAATAGTTGTTATATGCAGCAATAGCTTTCTTTTTTGGTAAGCAAAACAAAATATAACAAAGGAATTAAAATTTTGCTTCAATTAAAGGATTAGTTCACTTTTGAAAAAACTTTTGCTGATAATTTACTCACCCCCATGTCATCCAAGATGTCCATGTCTTTCTTTCCTCAGTCAAAAAGAAATTTAGGTTTTTGATGAAAACATTCCAGGATTTTTCCCCATATAATGGACTTCAATGGGAAGTCCATTTTGATACTTGAACTTCGGATGGTTAAAGTATCAAAAGACGGTTAATAGCTGTTTCAGATGCAGCTTCAAATGTCTTTAAACGACACCAGACGATGAATGAGGGTCTTATCATGCGAAACAATCGGTTATTTCAAAACTTATTCCAAAAATGTAACTTTTATAAGGACAAATGCTAGCCTTGCTAAATTCTCTGAGGCGCGTTTGTAACGTCACGTAATACGTAATTACGTTCAAAAGTACAGAATCAAAATCGTCCGACATCGTTGTTTTTCCTTTTAATTCCTTTTTTTGTAAACGGTGTTTGAGTTAGTTTGCACGTTCAACCTATGCGTTCAACTTGTAAACACTGACTCTGTACTTTCGGCTACGTCGCCCGTGACCTTTTGAACGTAATTACGTAATACGTGACGTTGCAAACGCGCCTCACAGAATGGAGAAAGGCTAGCATTTGTCCTTAGAAAAGTTACATTTTTGGAATAAGCATTGAAATAACCGATCGTTTCGCATGATAAGACCCTTATTCATCGCCTGGTGTCGTTTAAAGACAATTGAAGCTGCATCTGAAACTGTTATTAACACTATCTTTTGGACCTGAACCATCCGGTTCCCATTGAAGTCCATTATATGGAGAAAAATCCTGGAATGTTTTCATCAAAACCTAAATTTCTTTTTGACTGAGGAAAGAAAGACATGGACATCTTGGATGACATGGGGGTGAGTAAATTATCAGCAAAAGTTTTTTCAAAAGTGAACTAATCCTTTAATTGAAGAAATAAACTAAACATCAAAAATAGTTAGGATTATCAGATCAAATGCGTCCACCTCTGCTTTGTGATGGTAATACTGAGTTTGTATGTTCGCAGTTTACATCCCAGACGAATGGGAAGTGCCTCGGGAGAAGATCAACGTTTTTAAAGAGCTCGGTCAGGGATCGTTCGGAATGGTGTACGAAGGCATCGCTAAAGACATCGTGAAGGGCGAGCCGGAGACGCGAGTGGCCGTAAAAACCGTCAACGAGTCTGCAAGTCTGCGCGAGAGGATCGAGTTCCTCAACGAGGCTTCAGTTATGAAAGCATTTAGCTGCCATCATGTGGTGAGTGTGGATGTCCTTGAACCGGAATAATCCAGGCGAAAACAACCTTGTCTAAATGTCTGACGTGTTCTCCTAGGTCCGCTTGCTCGGTGTGGTATCTAAGGGGCAACCATCGTTGGTCGTCATGGAATTGATGACGCACGGAGATTTGAAAAGCTACCTGCGTAGCCTGAGACCTGATTCTGAAGTAAGACTTCCTGTTTCTGCTGTATCCCCAATTGTCATATCCCGGACGAGCCCCCAATTTTGTTAACCCTCACTGAGGGCATTATAACAGTAACGTTATTTTAAATGTTGCCATTTTGATGCTAAATAACCCAGTTTCCTTTCAGCTTCAATGGCTTTATGAGTCCACAAGAGATCACAAACAATTATTAAAAGTATTCTTTGTTTTGTTTTGTTGTTACAGAATAACCCAGGCCGTCCGCCACCAACCCTGAAGGAGATTATCCAAATGGCAGCGGAGATAGCAGACGGTATGGCATACCTCAATGCTAAAAAGTTTGTCCACAGAGACCTCGCTGCCCGAAACTGCATGGTGGCTGAAGATTACACTGTGAAAATTGGAGGTAAGCAGACCAGAATTGAGGATATTCAGGGTCAAACATGAGGTTCAAAGGGTAAAAGATCCTGATTTTGGTTTTTATTGCAGATTTTGGAATGACACGGGATATCTATGAGACTGATTATTATCGCAAGGGCGGGAAAGGCTTGCTGCCCGTCAGATGGATGGCGCCTGAATCTCTAAAAGATGGCGTTTTCACCGCTCACTCTGACTGCTGGTGGGTATTTCTTTGGGGTTTGGGGATTTGGGGATCACCTGCAAGCAACTTGTCAAGAAATTCCTTGCTGATCCTGTTGGGCTTTCCATTTCTGTTCCTGGAGTGCCACTATCCTCCGAGTTTAGTGCCGATCCCAATTTAACATACCTAAACCATCGAATTAATGTCTTTGAGATTACTAGAAACTCCCAGGCAAGGGTGTCGGAGCCAGGATTGAGCTAAGTCTGCTAGACACTGTCCCTCCAAGAGTAGGATTGGACACTCCTAGGTTAGGGGACAGAGGTTCCAGCTAAATGAAAGGAAATGTGATCAGTCCCAGCTTATTGAGTTTGCAGTCCTGTAATTAAAAGTCTGTCCACTTTCAGGTCTTTTGGAGTGGTATTATGGGAGATCAGCACGCTTGCCGAGCAGCCTTACCAGGGACTGTCCAACGAGCAAGTGCTCAAGTTTGTCATGGATGGGGGATACCTGGACAGACCGGAGAACTGCCTGGAGAGAATGTAAGTACCGACACTTTGGAGAAAACTTTGCTGAAAAGACCATGTTAGACCATCATGATATTTTGCTGGTTTACCCTAAGTATTCATTCCCAGGGTTAGGGATCGGGGTGAGGTTAGTAAACAGGGGTGGAGATGGGTAGGATTAGGGGTGGGGTTAGGGATCAGGGGGCGGAGATGGGGAGGTTTAGGTAGATGTAAGGTGGGAGTAGTTGGATCCAGATCTAAGGGGTGGAGTTGGGTAGGATCAGGGTTGGAGATGGATAGGATTAGGGGTGGGGTTAGGGATCGGGGGGGCGGATTTGGGTAGGATTAGGGGTGGGTTAGGGTTAGGGTAAGGTAGGAGGAGTTGGATCTGGATCCAACTCCTCCCCCTTGATTTCATGTTCTGCAGTGAGGACCATCTTGTTTTTTTTTTTGGTGTTTTCAATTAATTTTGATTGGTTACAGCATCTAATTATTCTTTGATTAAATCGAACCGTTTGACAAAAGGTGATGCATACATCTAATAAGCTTAGGAAAAAATGCCCTTATAAAAGATGAGAATTCCCTTAAAATCAGTTCAAGGGGGCAAATATTGCCTCATTGTGGAAAACTTAATCACCGCTTTGAACACTTTCAGCAAGTTTAAAGCAGCCAAGGTAGCAGCTCAAAAACACTACAAAATATTTTAATAATTCACACCCTTCAAGGAGACATGAGGCTTGGAGATGGAGATTTAAGTAGTAAGATTGTCTTCTCTCTCTCTAACTCTTCTCCCAGACACAGCCTCATGCAGATGTGTTGGCAGTACAACCCGAAGATGCGGCCCACCTTCCACGAGATCATCGAGATGATCAAGGAGGACCTGCATCCCACTTTTCATGAGGTCTCCTTCTTCTACAGCGAGGAGAACAAATTGCCTGAGAGCGAGGATTTCGATATGGACTTCGAGAACATGGAGAGCATACCACTGGACCCCTCATCCTATACCCAACGCGAGGAGAGCCTCAGTAGAGACAACGGCCCCTCGGTGGGCCTACGGGGCAATTACGAGGAGCACGTGCCCTATACGCATATGAACGGTGGAAAGAAAAACGGAAGAATTCTGTCTTTACCCAGATCTAGTCCGTCCTAACATTTGCCTCGGCTTTTCCTCTCTCGTTTTTTTTTTTTTTTTATAAAAGTTTTTAAATGTGTTATTTTTGCAGAGGCCCTTAAAGATACACAGATCTCAGGTCTTTTTTGTTGTTGTCGTCGTTTCTGTCTCACGCTACACTAGTATGGTTACAACGAAAATGGACGTTTTATCATCCGGCACACCATACGCTTTCTGACACTTTTACACTTTTGCCAAGTTTCCAAGACAGTTTGGTTGGGCAAACTGTGAACATGACTAAATCAACCAGAAAAGCTGCTTCAGCTACATCACCTCAAAGTCCACTTCCTTTTCCCTGGATGCTTATTTCCTGTCTGTCTTTTTTGTTTGTTTTGTTTTTGTAAGTGGAAATCTTTTGAGATAGTGGCCTTTTATTATGTGGCCTATAAAAAAAGAGAAGTGTCTATCAATGCTTGTGTTAATTTCTTTAGAACAATGACTTTACAGTGTGGAACTGTGGGATGGCTTATTTTCTTTTAGAACAAACTTTTGTTTTCTAGAGGAATGAATTTTTATTTTGTCCTGGAGAATTCCTGAATTCACATAGATGGTTTTCTGGTGAATGAGGTTTAATTTATTTGCTTTTATTATTTTATTTTCTTCTGAGCTTTTTACTCCTGTGTCCTTTTTACCGGCTGAAGGATATTTAACAGTTACGAATTGGACAAAAGAGTTACTCAGACTGACCAATAGCTGCTGCTCTGATATAAAGTGGGTATTATAGGTATCAGTATTTTAAATATACTATCCACAACATCTGAACTTTTGTACATAATTCTAATGTCTTTTTCTAATGTCTTCATCAGCTTTGCTTATACATTTTTTTTTTTTTTTTGAAAATAATATTTTTTTGTGAGCCGTTTTTTTATTTTATTTTAGTGTCTAACCAAAAAAAATCGCATTAATTAACATGCAGGTCGACTCGCAGTGATATTCCAGTGTACAGAGGGGAGCATTTTTGGTTTAGTTTAAAATATCAAATATCAAAATGATCAAAAATTGTAATTTTGGGATCATTAACAATAATTATAGAACTAATAAAAGTAATAATAATTATTATTATTATTTAATTAAAAATACACTCATTCGATTGCTCAACGGAACAGAATAAACGTTCGTATTTCCTGTCATAAATGGAATTGTTGTATATCCCTCAGTTTAAGTTTGGGTTTCCGAGTGATGTTATGGAGAATGCTTTTGGGAATGTTTTGGAGCGTCGTCTTCAGTGGGATATGAAAAGTAGTTTTTGGCTCGATTGGCCATTTACCTGATTTTTAGTGTAAATGATGACAAAAAAGATAACAAACGTGACTCCAGAGGGATACTGGGTAGTTTTTTGACAGTGGAAATATACTAATTCGACATGACAATATATTTGAATCGGATCAATAAAGCATTCCTGTAAGTTGTCAGGCTCCGCCGGTACCTGTTTAAGTAGGCTATCCAAAAGTGAGTGTAGTTCTCGCACGTCGTCACATAACAGCGTTACTCTGTAGTTCTGAGAAAGAGAAGTCATAGAAGACCAATGGGAAGGTAAGCTTCCTTCTCTCTGTCAGAATGATGCCGCTTTTTCCCGATGAACCCCTTAACGATGAAAAAAAGCAGTTAACCGTCATGGCCGACAGCTTTCGTATGCAGACGCTCAATTCCTCAACTTTGTGCCTTTTCCCATCGCCAGAGGCAAGAGAGATGGCATTTTTACTGCATCTTAATTTGTCGTCATCAAAAATGTGCACATTTCACATATGTGCGTGTATATTTGTCTATGTATATTTATTTGCGGGTATTTGGGAGGGAAACGGCAGAACGAGGCTAAAATTAAGAAATTAGCCATTTCCTCACCATAATGCTCACTTTTTTTTTTTTTTTTTTTTTTTTTTTTATCGTAGCCTGATAGAAAAAAATGTTCCCTTTCTCGACCTTATTGGCTTTATTTTAGATGTACATTGCAGAATCAAAGACATCAAACTTACTTGTAGCTATTCATACTCTATTACAAAGAAAGTCAAAGTTTTTTTTTTTTGCTGTAGCAGTGAGCATATATTATTTTTTTCTAAATTACAAGACCACCATATCTTTACAAAGGCAACTGTTGATATTTTTATTTATTTAATGATTCTCATAATAATTTAAATCCCTGCTAGCTTTTATTACAATACTCTTAAGGCTTTTGTGTGTGTTTTTTTGTTTTTTTTTTGTTTTTGAGAGATACAGCTGGTGAGGTCGAGAACGCAGTGGGTTTACTAGCGCTAAAGTCTTTCTGTTGGTTGTTTGGACACAGTCTACCTCAGTATGTTGTTAGAAAATGTATTAGAGCCACATGCATCTCTCTTTAGTTGTTTGAATTTCTTTAACAGGCTTGTTTCGGTGCAGCGAACACCACGTCCACAATCCCTAATTCGGCCACTAGGGGGGTTCTCTCTCGCAATTACCGACGTAAAATGATTTCCCTTTGGCAATATTTTGATTTTGAAGAAAGCTTTGAACCCAAAGAATCCCTTTAAAGGGTTGCGTAATTCGTTCTAGTCGTTTTGAATTACGCAGAACCAGTTTAGTTGCGCAACAATGAGATTAAATTATCATTTAAAAAATGTAACCGTGGAGTATTACAAAGGTACAACGTAAAAAAAAAGATACTGTAGACCTAATTGTGTGGGGAAAAATAGCTAATATAGTACGGGACACCGTTTGGCTCTGTAACGCTAGGAGTTTTATATCGACTATTACATAAAGCACTTATTTGAATAATAGAAACTTTTTCTTTAAGCCACTTGTCGTTAGCTACGCCACGAACACTTTAGTCTGCAATTTTGTTTCTGCGATTTAAGCTAAATTTAACCTTTCAAGTCACTTCCTAAGAGTGGATGACTACTGAATCACAGTTTGTTGCGCAAAAAATGCCCTACTTTTTATACTATATTTTTTTTATTGGCTACGTAGCTACAGTGGGTGTTTAACCGTTTGTGGAAATAGCTTCTTTGCTCGCTGCGATATCTTACCGAACAAACTTTCTGATGCCCCCAAGTTCGTATATTTAAAAAAAAAATCGTTCACTGTTTATTTTTTGTTTGCTCCAAATGTGATTGTCTTTATCATTGTGTTTTTCTACTGTGAAAAAAAATTCTATCAATGCCATAGTTAGTAAACACGGACTTCACCTCTGCCTCTCCTTACGCGTGCGTTCATAAATATTCTTGCGGACAATCCTATGTGCCATAGAAACTTTTTTTTTTCCTCAGGGAGATGTGAGAGTTGGGTTTCGTTTATCGGAGGAGCGTCAATTATCCACTGCTAGCTTAATCGTACGAGAAAAACTAAGGATGGACAACTGCAAAAACGATGCCTTTTGCGCATCTCTAAAGCGTTTAGCATATTTCGTTGCCTCTCCATTGTGTATCGGGGAACAAATTGAGCGCCCCCTGGTGGATCCGTAGTGCCTTGCACAAACCTAAGTATCCTCCAAGCCAAACCTGGCCAGCAAACTCCCTGGACCGGATTGTTTTTCACCCAACATCCTCAAAATACTGGAGCCTATTGTACAGATCTCTAGACGTATAGGTACACAGGTTAGCACATCTTTGGCTCAATGCTTGGCTCGGTTTTACTGTATTGGTATATGTGAATGATATTCTTTTCTTTTTATTTTGAATTAAGCTGAACTCGTCTCTTCTTGGAAATGCTACGGCTTGTTTTGTGTGCTTGACAAACTGCCCAACGTCGTACGATAGATTCACCAAACAACAACTTTGGCAGCTCCCAGTGTAAATCTAAATTAAGAGACTATAATTTTGATAATTACATTTTCACATCAACCCAAATGCGGTTTTCTACAGCAAGCTAGAAGAGCGAAACAGGTCGAGCGCAAGGCATTGTATGTATTTTATTGTTTTTAAAAGGAAAAAAGTATTACACGTAGAGATATTACGTTCTATTTTTTTAGTCAAAATAGGGAGGGCGAATTCAATAACTTTTTTGACTGACTGTAAACTTTTACTATTCATGTACATTACGGAATTAACCTTATCAATGTATATAGCTTTCTTTTCAATGAAAGTGTGATGTCTTTTGTTCATGGCATTACACTGTGATTCAGAGATATAAACGACATCGATTTTACTCTCCAAGCTGATCGGATGACCATCCCGTTCAGGGTTTGGCCTCCAATTAATGTTCTTCTTTGTACGACGTTGCATTGTTGTTTAATTCTTTTATTTCATGTACAACTACTTGTTTGCCATCCGAGAAATGATTGCATATCCTTTGTCAGCATTTTGTATTTGTAAATTGTTACCCTTTTCCTTGTACTATACGGAAAATTCCTCTACATGGCGATTCATAAAGGTGAGGTGACCGTTTGAATAAACAATTGTTTTTCAATGTGAAAAACTGGAAAAGACCACTGCAGACTTTATTATAAGCTACAATCGTGCACAAATCAACGTATATTTGATATCTGAAACGATTGACAACTTCCACAGATTACAGTGAGCAAATCCGGAATGAAATGAATTGGCCCCAGTTACATCAGCAAGTCAAGTTTTGTTAATATTGAATGTGTTAAATGTTTATTTCTTATGTAAATGTGACATCTTTTGGGGCTTATATATAACAGACGGATAGTTTTTCAAATGGCTTGTTTAAACATTAAATGATCAGAAAGTGATGTGTATTTTGTTTCTTCTGTTGTCCTGTAAAAAAATGTTCATCATTTTGTTTGTTTCATTTATCCCCGCTGTTCCTCGTTTCCTTTTGTTTGTTTTCTGTGTGCACATAGACGATCCCCACAGCTGTTTTGATTTCCCAGTCCTGTCATTCATCTGTATTGTAGTTTCACCTGTAAATGTTATTTAATCATCAACACACACTTTCCCCACAAAACTTTCCCTTCGCTGGTTGAAATTGTGCCATTTACGTTGCGGTACGCGAGCGTATGGAAAACCACCGTCACTTATTCAAACAAAACAATTAATTCGTCTGACCAGGATCAAACTGTGCCATGATTAACTAGTACGGATCGACAGTTTTAGTTTTTCCAGGAGAGCCAAGCAGTGACGTGTACAGTAAATGTTGGAATGAAATGAAAATGAATCTTGCTGTGTGTAAATTATTCAACAATTAACTGTTTATATGAAATTTATGAATTAAAAATTATTGGGAAAAATGGCTCTCCGTTGTGTCTGTTGTTCCCAAGATGATGATCAGTGTTATTATTACAGTAGCCTACATGTAAAATTGAATTCACTTTCATTAAATGGAAAAGCAACCAAGATCAAAATTTCTCCTTTTATGTTCCACAGAAGACAGAAAATCATACAGGTTTGGAACGACGTAAGGGTGAGTAAATTATTTTAACTCTTTAGTGCTACTTGCGTGGCCGTCAAAAATAATTTTTTGTCATTTTTTTTTTACTTCATGAAATGAATGTACTATATTTTGGGTTTTATTTAAAGCTGCAGGCTGTAGTTTTTCCTATTTGTCGCCATCTCTGTTCGAAATCTGCAATTGCAGTTATTCGCAGAATTATCAACTTTACGTGGGTTGTGCCTCGGCAATGCACAGCGCGGATGAATCCAATGTTTTGAGGAGAGTGTGCGGCAGTCACCAAAAGATTATACTTTTTGGAAGTATGACCAACATAATCATTTTCATACTAAATAGCCTGCATGCACGATCGCTACAGCCGGTGCTGCGTCAGTCTATGGTCAGAAGCCGGTTTTGCGTTAGGTGGAGATAGTGTCGAATTACACTTGCGGTTACCGTGAATAATGTTAACAACACTGTGAGGCAGTCACACAAGAGTATAAAAGAGAAGTTATTTAAATTATATATTTCGAGCTACATCAACCACTTTGAGGGTTAGTATTCTCTCATATCGTACGAAATTAGACTAGCGAATCAGCGTTTCTAAAATCGTTGTCTCCGTTTCTGAGAAAACGGATTTTATTAAAGTTTTGCCGCTATACACTTGGCCTGCAGAATGCGCTTCCGGAAGTAAAGAAGCTGACTGAGATTCTTTCGGACACACACACGTCAGCAGGGTTCGTGCATAGAGCCTATTGTAATCTGAACAATAATCGCAGCAAATCGCGCTGATTAAATCTAACAATCGCTTATCATATGACGTAAAACCGTGCAAATTATACTTTGTTCTAAAAGGGTTTGTAGGATATATAAGGCTATCATGATCATTTTGCCAACAATGAATCATGGATTTGTTTAGTTTATAATGCGTTTTATTTTTAATTTCAACAAATACAACTTATAACATTCAAAACTCATCGGCTTACACTGCTTTAAAGAAAAATGAACAGTTCATTTTTATACGAAGTGTAGCCTTGTGTGAAATTATTCAATAGATTTTAGACTTCTATATTTCAAGTGCAAGTATTTTTAGTATTTTTTTCTTATCATAGTTTACAAATGTCTTCGGAAACTCCTTTTCCTCGATTTACTGAAGCCTATGCACTCTCAGAAAAAAAGGTACAAAAGTTGTCACTGGGGCTGTATCTTTTCAAAGGGTAAACTTTTGTCCATTTCATGAGCTAATAAGTACATTTTCGGTGTTAATATGTACATTTTAGGACCTAATATGTACATTTTAAGTGTTAATATGAACATTTTAAGTGTTAATATGTACATTTAAGTGTTAATATGTACATTTTAGGTGCTAATATGTACATTTTAGGTGGTAATATGTCCATTTCAGGAGCTAATGTGTAAATTTCTTGAGCTAATATGTCCATTTTAGGTGGTAATATGTACATTTGAGGTACTAATATGTGCATTTTAAGTGTTAATATGAACATTTTAAGTGTTAATATGTATATTTTAAGTGTTAATATGTATATTTTAGGTGCTAATATGTACATTTTAGGTGCTAATATGTCAATTTCATGAGCTAATATGTCCTTTTTAGGTGGTAATATGTACATTTTGGGTGCTAATATGTACATTTTAAGTGTTAATATGAACATTTTAAGTGTTAATATGTACATTTAAGTGTTAATATGTACATTTTAGGTGCTAATATGTACATTTTAGGTGGTAATATGTCCATTTCAGGAGCTAATGTGTAAATTTCATGAGCTAATATGTCCATTTTAGGTGGTAATATGTACATTTGAGGTACTAATATGTGCATTTTAAGTGTTAATATGAACATTTTAAGTGTTAATATGTACATTTTAAGTGTTAATATGTATATTTTAGGTGCTAATATGTACATTTTAGGTGCTAATATGTCAATTTCATGAGCTAACATGTCCATTTTAGGTGCTAATATGTACCACTAAGGTACCAATATGCAGCCTTTGGGTACAAAAGTGTACCTTTTGAAAAGGTACAGCCCCAGTGACAGCTTTTGTACCTTTTTTTCTGAGAGTGTCAACACGGTGTCCAAAGTTGAAGAAGATTTTGTCGTTTTATTCGTTTTTATATAGTTTTCAAACACCCATATAGTGTGGTACTGAATGGTTGCCATATACCATATTTACACGATGCTAGATTAAAAACCATAAAAATATGCTCAGTGCTGTTATTATTTGAAAAAAAAAAAAAAACTCTCCATATTGGTTCGTCAAAATAGATGTACTGCAATTATACAGCCGGAAAGTCAGTAGTCAGTAAAGTGTGAAGAGTGGCAAGTTTGAGCAAAACAAACTCTTTAAAAGGGGTTAGTTCACCACGTTAACCACCGGTGCCTGAGTTCCGCTTATCTTTTCTAAACCCTGCACTCATTTGTGTGAGAATGCTGCAACTATCACATCATCACATGAACATGCAAAGTACATTGGTTTTCCTACTGTTTGAATTCTAACGTCCCGCATCAACACGTTTTGATGGTATCACGTCCAAACAGAAGGGCCCCGTATGGGTGCTCATGTAAAGGCCATGTGCCTGTGCTAGATGTCTGTGTGAAGAGGAAGTTGTAGCAATGTTGTGTGTTTAAGGCTGTGGTTAACACAGCCTCTCTGCTCTTTTCAGACGTTTCAGCTGGCACAAAGTCGGTTGTGTGAGTCTCAGAGGAGGACGTTTTGCTAGTTGAGGATTGCTGTTTATCTCTTTAAATTGGGGTGAGTACATAAGAACGTTTAGTTTTTAGTTTATGCACAAGAAGTGCTCATTTTAAACTGAATCTGTGCCTGGTAATTCATTATCTTAATCGGTTCCAGATAAGCTGAGATGCTATCATAGAACCTTTAGCTAATGCGTTTAACCGTGAGTTTTGAGTGTAGTTTGGATATTTTGACCTACAAGAACCCGGCGTTATCTCAACTTGATGGATTTCACTGGTGCTTTCTGCCATTATTGCTCCATCGGTTTCATTTAAGGAACTGTCTAAGCAGAAATGCTGTTGTATAGTGCAGATCAGTGTGGTGCAACTGCATGACAAAGTGTAGAAAAATCATACTAGACGTTGGTTGAAATGACAGGCCATTTTTCAGAAGCATCACGCTCTTTGGTGCATCACGGATTGTGTTTTTAACTTTCAGTCTTGTACACCAGCTCACACACATCATTTCCGTCCCTTTTGTAAAATGGTATTACTGTGATCATATACAGTACTTTGACATTTATTTTTATACCATGATTTTTATACGGTACTCCACCTCAAAGAATACCAGGGTAGCATAGTACTTTTGGTATTTGTATTTCTTTTTATTTAGTTGTATATCGTTGATAGAAATACAATGATGTATGAATATACCATTTACACAATAATGCGGTACAGTATATATACATTAGCCCCAAACGTTATGGGCCTTTAGGTCACACAATGAACATTTTTGACATTTTACTGGCATAATCTGGGATATTTCGGTTTAAAACAAGGTTATATAAAAGAAGAAAGTATATTGGGAAAGATTTCATCCACCAGGAATTGATTGGATGCTGAAAAGTATTTTTATGTGGCAGGATGTTGAAGGGGAGGAGTCTAAAAAGAACTGGCCTTGATGATGTCAGCAGAAAAGATGAATGTTTGCAAAACAAAACAGAGTAGTTCACTTTTAATTTTTTTTTGCTGATAATTAACTCCAAGATGTCCATGTCGTTCTTGATGAAAGCATTCCAGGATTTTTCTCCATATAATGGACTTCAATGGGAACCAAACGGTTCAAAGTCCAAAAGACAGTTTCAGTGCAAACTGTTCAAAGGGCTTTAAACGATTCCATACGATGAATAAGGCTCTTATCAAGAGAATCTATCGCTCATTTAAAGGAACACTCCGACTTTTTGGGACTTTAGCCTATTCACCTTACCCCCCAGAGTTAGATAAGTCCGTACATACCTTTTTCATCTCCGTGCGTGCTATAAGTCTGTTTGACGCACCCACCGCTAGCCTAGCTTAGCACAAAGACTGGATGTGAATGGTTGCAGCTTTCATACTAATCCAAATGAGTGACAAAATAACGCAAACGTTTTCCTATTTACATGTTGTGGTTTGTACACACAAATTGTTTTTGCACAATGAACTCACAGCCTATCGTACCCTTTTGCACGCTCAAGTTCGTTATTTCCATGGTTATTTCAAATTTAGGCTACTAGGCGCGCCGCGCGCAGGGTGCAAGTTCAACGCGGTAAACGCGCTCGTTTTTTTTTCCCAAGCGCGTCCGCACCGCATCAAGATAAAAACATATTCATACCCTAATCATATAATAGTGTCACTAACGTTACATTAGATCTGGCTAAAGGCACTGTTACAGTAGGTCATCATCTAAAAACATAACGGAACACTTACCTCAGCCGCAGGTGATCCACTTGTCCTGTCTGTGCTATCGATGGGATGGCCGTATCCTTCAGCACATTATGGTCCGTGTGGCAAATTCCATTTTTTCAAAATAGTCGTCCTCATTGAAATGTACCGAGCAAACATAATGTCCCTTGATAATCTTAGGTGTGTTTGGATAAATATCCAGAGTAAGTTAGCCATTTCTTCATCCAGTCAGCGTTTTTAGTTGGAATTGAAACATGGTATTACCTCCCCTGTTTACTGTCGCAGCTATTTACAATAGAGCGAAAACCCATGACTGTAAACTACGCTTTTACTATTTATAAATTGCTGACTCTGTTACCCAAACACCGAGCGAACTCTCCGCTCCTCACCACGGCGTGTCTCCGGTGATGCGGTTATTACGCCGTCAAAGTAGAAGTGCTTCGCCTTC